GGCATTCACTGTGAGCTTCTAGTTCCATTTTATGCTATTTTGCCATGGATTGTGTGGAATCTTACTTTTGGTGAGCCCACACATTTTTTTTAAATAAGCAAATTGGTGACATATTTTCCTCTAAAAACTACTTTTAGTATTTTCTGTTATTATACCATAGTAATCCTAAAAACTTACTAAGTATTCTTTTCTCTTACAATTTTTTCACTTAGTTTAGGGTTTTTTCTTTCTGTTTCAAATAAACCACAGGAAAAGACTAATTATAACATTTTGCTATTATTAAAGGAAAAAACATGATGCTGGAATGCATTAATAAAACACTGAAAGCAAGATAGGTTGAGACCACCACAAAACAGGAGATTCCTCAAAAACTCATTACTATTAATGCCATATAATCCACCTATTCCACTTCTGGGTATTTATCTTAAGACGGTGAAGATGATAATTAGAAAAAATATGTGCACACCTGTGGTCATTGCAGCTTTATTTATAATAGCCAAGACATGGGTATAGCTTAAGTGCCCACTGATAGATGATTAGATAAAGAAAATGTGGATAAAGATGTAGTAGATATATATGTAATCGAGAACTCTTCAGCCCTAAATGAGAGATGGAATCTTGCTTTTCACAACAATGTGGGTGGTCACTGAGAGGATTATACTGAGTGAAATAAATCAGATGGAGAAAGAGAAATACCATATGATTTCATTCTATGTGCAATATAAAGAAACAATGCAAATGAACAAACAAGACAAAACAAAAACAAAATCTTAAATTCAGTACACTGGTTGAAAGTTACCGGAGAGGATGGAACTTGGGGGTTTGGGTCAAGTTGGTAAATATGTAAAGGGGGATAACACTATGGTGGTGGTGGTTGGAAACTAAATTTTTGGTGGTGATCATAATGTAGAGTATATAGATGATGAGTTATAATGTTGTGCATTAGTAAAGGATCTGCAGTTGCTGCTGACTCAAGAATGAATAGCTCAGCCACAAACAGGAAAGTTGTCAAAAATGGTAGATCCCACCACCTGTTAGATGTGAACTAGATGCTAGAGACTAACATGCCTGCCTTGGAGGGGGGGTGTGGAAAAACCCACCATAAGCTTTCAGAAGATCCATATAGCCACCACTTTATAAGACACATGTCTCCTTCAGGACCATGTGAAAGTACATCAGGTGGATGAGTGCCAGATTTAAAGGGAAAACCTAGGTGCAAGAGTCTGGGGCATATAGTTTAGCCTTTAGCCTCAAGAGTACAGAAAGTAATGCAAGAAGCAATTTGTAATTCTGTACTAATTGCCATGTAGGACCTTAGGTAGGTATTTGTATAGTTTCTTGCTCTTATAGCTGCAATGGAATATATGCATTTCTAGGAAGGACTAAAAAGCCACAAAATTATGTTGTATTCTTCTAGAATACTGGAAATGGAAAGTATTTCAGAAAATATCTTTCCCCAAGCTGCTAGTTTACTTAGTGAATGTTCTAGAAATTTCAATATTTTTTTAAGTATGAAAATAGTCATGAATTTCAGCTTTTATGCTCACTGCAGAAATAGTTAAGAAATAATTTAGTGGGCCTCCCCGGTGGCGCAGCAGTTGAGCGCTGGGTTGCGAAGCTGCCCGCGGCCTCTGCGGTGCCGGTTCGATCCCCGGCTGCTCCCCGGCCACCGGAGGAGGGTCCCGCATGGCGCGCAGACCTCTCCTGCCGCCCGCTGCTCCCCTCAGCAGTGTACTTCAGTCCTTCTGCCTGCTCTGCTCCCTGCTCTGGCTCTGGTGAATTCTCTCACCCTCCTGCGCTTCTGACTGTACCCAGTGCATGTATAAACAAAACAAACAAACAAACAAATAAATAAAAAAAAAAAAAAAACATGCCTCTATAAAAAAAAAAAAAAAAAAAGAAATAATTTAGTCAGGTAAATACAATAGCAGCCAAATATTTCCATATTTTTATTTGCATTCATAACCAGTTTTTTTTCTTTCTACTAATGCAGGATCACTTTTTTTTTTTTTAACCAAATAACTAAGTAAGAATAAGGACAATGAGGTAGCAGATGGAATGCAAAAGCTTGCTTTCAATAAATCACTTCAGGAAAAAGAGTCTCTTATTCCCAAAGCAACAGATGGGAACAACAGTGAATTAAAGGAATGGACTATATAATCAAAATTAACATAACTCCCTGTATTTGTCAGCTAATGTTGTTTTGTTAAAAGTCACAAATCTCAGTGATATACAGCAACAATTGTTTCTCACACACCTGAGGTAAAATGGGGTAGATATGGTGTTGACTACATGACTGAGACACAGGTTGGGTCAGTCTAGATCTGTTTCTCAAGGCTTTCCGTATCCCTGGACCAGCAGGCTATGCAGGTTAAATACTTTTAAAGCAACAGCAAAGGTCCAAGACAGCAAACAGAACTACTGATTCCTCTTAAGGACCAAGCTTGTTACTGGCACCCTCATTTCAGCTCACATTTTATTTACCAAAGCAATGCCCATGGTTATATCCAAAGAAAAGGGATAGGAAAATGTATTCTGCCTTTTGTGGAAGAAACTGTAAAGTTACATTGCAAAGAGTATTGACATAGGACAGTGATGATGAAGAATCAGGGCCAACTGTTTATCTTCCACTTCACTAATGTCAAAGTCTGAATTTTCAGCATACTTGGGGATGGGTGGAATTCTGTGGGGCCCCAAATACCTCTTTGTCTTCTCACTTGTGGCCATGTTTTAAATGCTATGGTGATGGCTTGTTAATCTCTCATTGAAATGTAAATGAAATAAATTATCCAGCTATGAAACTAAGAGGTAAGGATGGGGGAACCAGTTAGTCCCCAGGAATTTAGTGAGAATTGTAAAGATTTCACTATTTTCATAGACTTTTATATTAATAGAAGGTAATTTTACTGATAAAAATATTGCCTTATATATACATGAGATGAAATATTGAGATTATTTACTATTATTCAAAATCCAGTCTAGGTTTACAACAATTATATGTTGTTAGACCTATGACTCATTCAAAAAAGGTTATGATGATAGATTTAGTGAACAATTTAATGCTTTCTTATGAAAGTGCTGCTGCAATCAGGACAACCGATGAAGTTCTCTGCCATTAAGGAAGACTCAGAGTCTAAATGAAGTTGCAATGAGGGGAGGCTGGGGAGCGTGCCATCGAAAGCAGCTCTGCCTTTCACTCTCCCAGCCCAAGCTTTTATTGAAGATATGAACAAAGGAACAAGAAAATAGCACACAATTGTGTTTTTGCTTATACAGATTAATAAATTACTGTTGAAAACAAGTTTTCCTGGTTAGAAGGGAACATGCGCAGAAGCCAGTACATCCTCAGACAACAGGAGTCAATTCTGGGAAGAAGTTCTGTTTGCAGAACTTCTAATGTCCCGGAACTCCCTATGCAGAGTAAACAGATGTATTCCAAAAACTCCAGCTCCCTTTAGGTCAGCAGGCTCCCAACAACTGGAAATTGAATTTATATGATTCTTATGAATGGCTTTGATAAACATGAACAAGAAAATGAACTAACGATATTCAACTTAATGTTACTAGAGATTAGAGTGTTCCCTCAAAGTGATTATGAAGCAGTAAGTTTCAACTTAGATTCGAATGAATTAAATATAAGTAAGAGTATTTTTCATAGTCTCAGAAGTAGTATATTTTGATGTATACGGAAGAAAAGGTAAGATGATAAGTAACTTTTTAGAACGTAGAAATGACTAATGGTGAATTCCTTTTGTAGGAAGCTGTTTCTTCTACTGACATGTTCCTAATCAAAAACAATGATACAGAAATAGCACTTCACATCAGACTACAAGAAAGCATACCAAAATTATAAGTGCTTGACTTACCATTTTTTTCTTTTCACAATAATTTTAATTGCAAAAACTAACATTAAACTGTTAAAAACCAGGCATCATGCTAAGTGCTTTAGATGTATCATTTAATTTAATCTTTACTTGATGAGGTAGAAATTCTTATTTTACTAATGAGGAAACAAGTACAGAGAGGTTCATTAAGTTTCCAATTATCTATAATTCACATGTATTGCTTTCAAAAACAAATGAAATAATAACCTTTAAAGCAAGAAAATTGTACCGTCTTCAGGATTAACAGTTTCCAAGCAATCTGAAGTAGAACATTTGTAAATCTTTTTCTCCAGGGCTATACTGTGTTGTATTATTGGATAGAGTGAGTTCCAGTATCTACCTTGGCAAGTGGTTTAACATTTTGGAGCCTCTGTTTCCTCATTTGAAATGACTCTATTTATATTTTCTATACTCAGAATTGTTGAGGGTGTTGAAAGAAAGATGTAAAAACAATGTGTAAATTATAAAGTATCATGTAACATTATGTAGGGATTTATTACATAGTTAAAATCCTAAAAAGTTGCAGCTAGACTATTTTAATGACATATTGCTTAGATAAGGCATAGACATTTATGGCCAGAACATTAGAAATAAAAATATATAATGCTAGTGCTTATTCAGAAAATCAAACTGATATAAATAAGGTATCAAGTTTCATTCTTGGTGGTATATTGGTACAATGGTAGTGCTATAGCTAAAGACAACCTACATTCTAATTTTAACACAAATAGTGTTTAATAAACACAAGTAATATATAGTAAACTATATTTGGATAACATCTAGCATTGCCATTTGTTAATACCAGTTTCTCACCAATGCCTGTAAAATTAGGATTTTTAAAAATTGAAACAAGTAAGGGAAAGAGTTTATTTTTGTTCTCTCTTATGTTCCCATTGCCTAGAATATTGTCTGAGACAAATATTTGCTGAAAGATTAAATGATATAATACTCCAGTAATTAGAGAAGAGACTTTAGAGAGCAGCTGTAACACATAATACATAAAAATGTGAAGCATAAATACTGGTAATATGTTAACATGAAATATGTTAATATGCAATTTCTTTGGCTCACATATGTTTAACAGATTTATTATTTCTTCCTATTTGCTTAACTTAGGGACGAGCTGCCCTAACAGAAGAGAAAGAAGAATTTGCCCATGAACATGAAGAAATGAAGAACCTAGAAACCATTGTTCAAAAAATAAAACCAACAGCCCTCATAGGTAAACTGCTTTTCCTTCCCTCCTATAACCCCCTTTGTTAATCTATTTTGACCTGATATGTGTTCTTGTTATTGCTTTTGGAGGCATAATTAAGCTTTTTCTAATCTTTGGAATTTACTAACAAAATTACACATTCCTGAAGCAACAGTACACCAGAGATACTTAGATGTGTGAATCCAGTGCTTACTGATCTCAGCTGAAGCATGTGATGCCCTCGATTAACTGTCAGCCTAGCAAGTTCAGCACTTATACCAGGCGTGATTGCTCCAGACAGACAGTGTTTCTTAATCAGGAGTCATTTTGACCTCAAGGAAACATTTGGCAATGTCTGGATATGTTTTTGGTTGTCACACTGGGGTAGCAAGAGCTGGTATGGGAAGAGACAGTACTACTGACGTGTGGGCGGACTAGGGATGCTATGCAGCATGCTATTATGTCCAAGAGACATGCCCCTCATGGAGCCTACCCAGCCCTAAATGTGAGTACTTGCAAGGCTGAGAAGCCCTGAACTAGAGCCGCCTTTTGGAGAGCAAGCGTATTGGACTTATCTTTCCATTCCTCATACCACTTAACACAGTAACTTATACATTTCGTGGACACAGTAAAGTGTTCAAAATGGATTTTAAAAAACTCAGGAAGGTGTGGCACTCTATCCCTTATTTAGTATCATGTTTTTGCTAAAAGCTCTTATGAAACAGATGACAATGTTGAGAGTAATGCTGATAACCATAATGAGAACAGATGCCTACACCATGATAGGAACTGTATAGTAAGCCTTTATTGTTGTTTCCATTAAATATAGTCTATCAGGAATCTTATTCTTTTTTCATTTCCATTTTGCTAATTACTGTATTCCTCTGATTGATAAGATTATTTCAATGAGCGATAATTTTAAAATTGAATTAGATGATTGTGATAGTGTCATCAGTGGTTTGTAAAACAGAATTACTTTATAGCTTGAGAGATTGAAATATATACTAGAATCGGTTAGAAAGAGAAATTAGACACATTTTAATTTCTTGATGTAAATACCTGTCAAAATTCTTAGTGATTATTAATGAAGTATATTATAAATTAAATGCTTTATCTGTAATTTCAAAATAGATACTTGTAGATTTGTAACCCAAAATGTTATTAACAGTTATTTCTTTTTTCACTTTAATATAAATATTCCATATTTTTTTCAGACTACTAGAAAATGACCTAATATGTCTCACTGTTTTATTGGGCATGGTCTTCTTGGATTAATCAATCATTGATAGTCCTATTTACTCATTTCTCATTTCTACATTAGGAGTTGCTGCAATTGGTGGTGCATTCTCTGAACAAATTCTCAAAGATATGGCTGCCTTCAATGAACGGCCTATTATTTTTGCTTTGAGTAATCCAACTAGCAAAGCAGAATGTACTGCAGAGCAGTGCTATAAACTAACCAAGGTAAAGCAAAAGTACTAATGATATTTTCATAATCAAATTTTGATTATTTATAGGGAAGCCCAGGATATCTAAGGTACTACTACCTTTAAAAACTATACAATCAAGTTTGAAAGAAAAGTGAACAGGTCAGAGGAATAAGAGATACTCCCTTTTCTAGAATATTGTATAAATTCTCTTTTTCAATAAAAGAAGATCAACTTTTTCTGCTTTACTGATAATTTTCCTCAAGTGGTATGGGAATAGCTAAGATTTAAACATACAATTTAAATAAAAAGGAAAGAGTGTGATTTTAGATGCTTATTAAAATAGTTTTTAACTAGCTATTCTCAAACACTGAAACATGCAGTATAAAAACCACAATCTAATTTTTGCTTTGCTAAATCCTGGGTTTGGATTTTGATGCCTGGGTGGAGCATTTGGGCAGCTGTTTTGACATCCAGCCAGTTTGGGATAGGAGTCCTCAAAGCTTCCATAATTTACTGTTCTCAGAAAAGTGACTTATTTTATACTATATTTGTATTAACATATATTTCACTGATTCATTGACAAGAGGATTTTTTTCTCCTCAGAGACTTGAAAATGTTGTTACAACAAAATAGAGTTTGAGTCAGATTTACTAACACATTTTTGGAAATAAGTCCAAAATTAACTAGAAGCGATAAACATAACACAAATTTATGTCACTCTGTATGAATCCGAACTTTGACTCCACTATTTAAATATTATTTTCTTAAATACTTTTTTACTGGAATTAATGAGATTTAGCAAGGAGCTAGCTAATCCATTGCTTATCTCTCCTATTTGGTATGGCATCAATGTCCCCAGTAATTTCAGTTTTTATCCCATATCTAGATTGGGTAATTTGCCTCATATTCTTTGGTAGTCCTTAAATCCTCAGAGACAAAAAAATCCTCTGAATAGTAACACAGTTTTAGCATGATGCGTTGTACATAGTAGGCACATAGTAAGTAGTTTGTCTTGGTATAGCCTATCTGGCCACAAGAATTTATAGACTTGCCTGTAACAGACATAAGCAAAGCTAGCCAAATTTATATAGTTGTGTTTTTAAGTTTAAAAGAATCTGATATACATAGTCTAAGCTCTTTCTTATAATCTTGCCCAGTGTTTACGTAGTTATACATAAAGTTGTGTCATTTTTGAGGCCAAAAATTTAAAGGCTGTTTGAAAGAATTACACAACAAGAAAAGGCTGACCTGTTGCTGGATGTTGCGTCTCCTCTGCTGCAAGCACAGGTGAATGGTCATTAGGAGAGATTAAAAGTACCACATATTTAAGATTATTGAAAAGTTATAATTTTATTATGAAAAGTTATAATTAAACCAGAAATAGTAAGGAAATGTTTCCTTCTCACATTAAAAGTCCATTTATGTGAACATGTTTAACTATTTAGTGCCATTCTTATTTAAAATATGATGATTATAAAACAATGGAAAGGAAGAGTTGGGGGGAGAGAGAAAAATAAGCACATGTATGATGTTTTGGTCTCTTTGCAAATATAATTTTCAAAGCTATATATAACAAGTAATATATGTTAAGTAATAATTTAGTTATAGTGGAAAGCTGCTTCTAATAAAATGTTTTGTCTCCTAAACGAGCTGAAGGTATAAACCTTATTTGAAAATTAAACCTAATTTTGTGCCAAGAACAGTAGTGTCTTAATAGGTACCCAGAGGAGGATTTCTATTTTTATCCTCTTGTATGATGAGAAGAGATTACCTCATATTATAAAACTTTAACTTTATAAAAGGGTAGATCATTTGTTAAAAATGAATGTTAGCTTAATATCATTGTTGTCATAACAGATTTATGGATTGGACCATTTCATCCAGAGAACAGAATGGTGGTCTCAGGAGTATCATGTGCTTTGCATACTTCTTCTAGGGGTAGAAAGTAGAATAGAGAACAGTAATAATCACCCACTCCAGAATTTATTGCCAACATCGTAAAAACTTGTCCAGACTTAGAAAGGAGTTAATGAAAAAATTAAATTTTTCTTAAATGCTCAATATATTATTAGTTCTGTTATGACATATATGCATATATATATATATATTTAAATATCTTGCTTTTTTAAATTAGTCCTGTGTCTGTGTTGTAGGGACGTGCAATTTTTGCCAGTGGTAGTCCTTTTGATCCAGTCACTCTTCCAAATGGACAAACCCTGTATCCTGGTCAAGGCAACAATTCTTATGTGTTTCCTGGAGTGGCTCTGGGTGTTGTGGCATGTGGATTGAGACACATCACAGATAAGATTTTTCTCACTACTGCTGAGGTATCGTAAAATAGTCCTATAAATATGCTACAAAATGCCAAGTGAGTTTAGTGGCGTTATCTCACAATTTCTTTATATAGCATCTCAGCTCACTCCCTAGGAAGTATGAAGTGCGAAGAAGAAAGCTTTCCCAATGGAGAATATGGGGTGGATGAGGGTAACAGGTTCATTTTAAATCACTAGTTAAAGATTATTCTTCAATAACAGGTAGAAAATTACATTCTGATTTCCTTAAAGGCACCCTTTTTACATTCTCACACTTCTATTCTCACACAACAATCAGACAATTAAAAATTTTGTTTCCAAATGGTGATGAAGTGGTAAATATTTTTCCATTGATGATCTTCCTAAATAATGGCATTTTGAAGGTTTGAAATGATATAGTGAGGAAATATTTGTCCTGTAGTGCACAATGCAGAAAACAGAAACCAGTGAAGTATTTAAGCAGAAAGGAAAAGGTCAGTTATGGGCTTTAGTGTGGACTTTCAGCAAAGATTCTCAGTATCATAGAGCAGACCCACTAGGGAAGCTGTGTTCAGCTTCTGTTAAGAACTGTGAAGGATGCTGATACTCAATAATGCATACCTGACATTTATATGCTGTAATGGTTACTTCAATAATAAATTTAACAAAAGAAGAACTATAAGGGATCTGAAATTTTACCCGACTTGAAAGCTAATAAGTTAGCCAGTCACAGTTTCATAGATGCTGACAAAAAAGACACAAAACTCTTACATCAGAGACACAGGGCTTTCTTTATTCATGAAAAAAGAGCTACAGGTTCCTGTCAGTTCACCTTCAAACCTGGGGTGGGTGGGAGAAGTGGAGGGTTGTGATACAGTAACTGGGTGTATATTTGTAAAATCTTGAGTTTTTGATAATCAGATTGTTCATCTAGTTGATATGTTATAGTAGGATGTAATTCATGAGTGAGAAATTTGTGTTTTTTTCCCTCTTAAAATTAAACCACTATATAATATTATAACAGAACTGAACCAAATAAAAATTGATTAATCAAATATTTTTGTCACATAAACATGATATTCTTTCCTTTGTAAGAAGTGACTCTCAGAGTACAGACAAAGACTTTTATGTTAGTGCTGTGATCTAAAGTTGTATAAATCCCACTGTTTGGTGCCTGGTGTCATTCTGTGAGAGTAGAGATCTTAGGCCATACTGTTCTACTCCTTTCTCTTTCTTCAATGCATTAAAAGCATGACCACTGGTGTCTCGGAGTTTCTTTAACTCAGAAAATCTTGTTAAACATAAGTAGATGTTTAGTGACTTAAGACATTTTTAAAGTTGTGCTTACATTAAGAATATTTAAAAAAAAAGAATATTGTAATTATGTTTTATAATGGACACATCAGAAGAAGAAAAAAAAAATCTTTTACTCAAACAGCCTGTTTTCCAAATAACTCCAGCACCCTCTAGTGACAAGTTTCATGAAAAAACACTTTTGTATTTATTATACTATGCAGGAAAAGTAATAATCACTACTAAAAAACTTCAAAGAAATAAAAATATGACAATGTCAATAGGATTATTGTTTTCATGGTTAGTGATTGCTCTGGATAAATCTTGCCTTTCTACTGGTTTTCTCTTAGACTTCAACACAACATCACTGTTTTTCATACCACTTCTTTGTTTCCTTTGTCTTTTTATACCTTTTACCTAAGAGTTTTTCTTCTATTATTCACTTTTCTGTCTTCACATTTTTCTTCCCTTTTTTCTTACACTTTCAGAAATATCATCCATCCATTCTCTTATTCTCATTATCTTAATTTTTTTCTTTTGACATTACATTAGTTTGCAAAACTATACATTTTAGGAAAACAGATTCACACCTCTTCAAATGAATGTTGCCACACACATTCAGGTGCATGCCCACTGCCAAAGTGCCAAGAGCCCTCCACCACAGTCCACTGGACCACCTTCCGCTTTTGCTCCTACCCTGCTTCCCCCTCTGGTAACCTCAATTCTGGAGTTGGATTCCAAAGGCTTGTTTTACTTTAATTTTGTCTGTTCCATTGCTTTTTTTCTTTTTATTCCATATATAAGTGTAATCGTCTGGTATTTGTCTTTCTCCTTTTGATTTATTTTGATCAGCACAATCCCATTCTGTTCCATCATCCATGTTGTCACAAATGGAGAGTTCATCTTTTTTTATTTTTTACCTAAGTGGTATTCCATCATGTATATACATCACACCTTTACCTACTTACCCATCGCTGGCCACTTAGTTGTTTTCATACGTTGGCTATGTAAATGAGGTTAACATAGGAATGCAGATATGTCTTCCCCACTATTGCACTTTTTGAAAAAGCACTTTATTGAGGTGTGATTTTTATACAAAAAGCTGTACATATTTAATACTATAACTTGATGAGTTTGGAAATAACGATGCTGTAATATAACCATCACCTGCAAAGGATTTTTCCACCCTCTTCATCCTCATCATTTTTATTATTATTTTGTGCCAGTGTGTGTGAACATTAAATGTAAGATCTATACTCTGAAAAATTTTAATTATATACCATTGGATTTTAGAAATAGGGAATGGTTTGGCAACAATTACTGAGGCCTAGTTAGGCGATTCATATTATCCACAATCTGTGCAAAATTGAAATTCTACTTGAAGTGTGACTCTGAAATAGCATTCTCAGTCTCGGGTTTTACCTCCTGTGCTAATATGAGCTGGGAGTAATTGCATGATGAGCCTTGGATAGTTTCGCTCCTTTCCTTCAGAGTGCTTTTCATAACTTCTATTATCATGTGTCTTTGCTGCTGTGTCCCTGTTCCCCAAGTGTATCAAATGGAAAAACTGCCCATATTTCAGGTATAGTAGGAAAGAAACTGAATAAAGAGGAAATCCAGAATCTTTTACCATCTTTTTCACTAATTATGTTATTCACAATTTCTTGGGCTCATTTTTTTCCATCGATAAAGGGGTAAATGGAATTAGATAATCACATTCATGTAATATTTCTATACTTGACCATATATGTTACCATTCACCTTTTTATTGTCATAATCAGCACATTGGTGTGAAGTATAAACATTTTTCTTTTTGTTTTTAAGGTTATAGCTCAGCAAGTGTCAGATAAACACTTGGAAGAGGGCCGACTTTATCCTCCTTTGAACAAAATTAGAGATGTTTCTCTGAAAATTGCAGAAAGGGTAAATCCATTTTTGTTCAAGCCTCATTAATTTTCCTTACTTCTATTGCTAAACATGTGTTTTTAGATACTAAAAATTCACTGCCTTGAAATGTGTATCAACTAATACATCAGAAGTCAGATAAATGAGGCCCAGTGCCTCAGCAGAACTTTGGAACTATTTTTTTTTTTTTTTGATCCTTATAAAGGCGTGGAAGAATTGAGCTGAATCATTATATTCACTGTCATTCTTTTGCATGTTCCACAACTTAAATAATTTGCTAGGGTGTCTTCTCAGCTAGGTTTTCCCCACACCACCTCTTAAAAGTTATTTTCCATGTCATATTTGTGATAGTCATCAATAATATATTGCCACTGCGGTGGATCTGTAATCCCCTGCCTGTCTGTGTCTCTGTGATAAGTGGTATCATAAAGATCACAGTTGATAATATTTGGGCAGAGGGCAAAACTCTGAGGACACAGAACTTGAAGCTGTTGGGGTGGTAGATGAGCCATTGAAGGAATTAGCTAAGAAGAACATAGAGGCAGGGATATTTTCTATAAATGACATGAGAGAGAAATTTTTTTTTCAATATAGTTACATTAATTTGCTAGGTCTGCCTTAACAAAATACTACAGATTTGAGTAGCTTAAACAACAGAAATTTATTTTCTCACAGTTCTGGATACGGGAAGTCTAAGATTAAGGGGCTGGAGGTTTGGTTTTTTTTTTTTTTTGGAGCTTGCTCTCTGTGGGGCCCACTATTACAACTTCATTTTAACGTAATGATGTTGTTAAAAGCCATGTCTCCAAATAAAGTCATAGTCTGAGGGGTGCAAGTTAAGACATCAACATAGGATTTAGGGGTTGAGACATAGTTCAGCCTATAACAGTAGTTATATGTTCAAACTAGGGTTTTATAATCTCAGCACTGTGCACATTTTGGCCCGGTGCATTTTTGTTGTGAGAATTATCCTGGGCATTCTAGAATGTTTAGCTATATCCCTGGCCTCAAACCACCAAATTCCAGTAGCCTCTGCATAGTTGTGACAGCCAAAAATTGCTCCAGCAATTGACAAATGTCCCTTTTGGGTCAAAATTGTTCTAGAAAATCAAAACTATTAGCAAGTTTGTCAAACAATACAGGATTTATATATTATTATCTATCTTGTTGGTTAAGGGTAGTTTGTTAAAAAATCCAAGTAATACTTCAAAAAAATCCTTCAGAAAACTTCAGAAAATCTTAGTTATTTATGAAAGAGTATATTCATATTCTAGTAACTTGTATCTGCTCATTATTAACCGATGGAGCAGCACATTATCATTTTTCTCAAAGGAAATTAAGGAAGGGAGAATGTTTGACAACAAGAGAAGTTAATTTGAGTTGATAAAAAGGAAAATTAGTGTTCTTTTCTCTGATTAATTGCAATTTTCTCAGTAGAGTGATGAGAGCCAAATAAAGACTTGTCAAGGGTAAGATTTGATGATGCCTGGTGAGAACTGAGAGGAAGATTTTGTTGTTTTTAAATAAAAGGATGAAAGCATAGCAATCATAGTCCCGATTAAGGTTAGGAAAAGCATGACTTCACAAGAGACAACAAGGAAAGGAGGAGCCAGCTCAGAGGGTTCTGCAGGCTGGGAACTAGAATGTGAGTGTGATACAAAGACAGACAGACAGGAGAGTCCATGGTTCTAGCAAAAACATTGAAACTGTGGGGTGAGAAGGATCAGGCAACCTGGAACATATGCTGGAGAGATTTTGTAGGCCAGCTTATCAGAAATATTCATATATATTTTGAGTTAATTATCAGACAGGACATGTCAAGACTTTCGCTATTAGATTATCTGAGAAATTCTAATATGATCTGCCTTGAATAAATTTCTACTATCCTTTCCTTTGTTGCTGATGTAGTCTCCTCTTGTTATGTAATTTATAACTGCACTTTCACTTTATGCATTCTTTGTATGTGTGTGCTTTTGTTATAATAGAGTTAATTTAGGGGGAGGTAACTAGATAACATGTAAATTAAAAATTAAAAATTTGAAACAGACAAAAACTTATGACATGATTCAACTGTTCATTAATATAATTTTCTCTTCTGTTTTTTAGATTGTGAAAGATGCATACCAAGAAAAGACAGCCACAGTCTATCCTGAACCCCAAAATAAGGAAGCGTTTGTCCGGTCTCAGATGTATAGCACTGATTATGATCAGATTCTACCTGATTGCTATTCTTGGCCTGAAAAGGCCCATGCAATACAGACCAAACGTGACCAGTAGTATAGTAGTGGACCTTTCTAACTGCATTAATGAGATCTTGAAGTATTTCATAATTTTTAAATATTGGAATCTTTTATAATGATTCAGAATAGGATAGATTAGGATAATTATGCTTTAACAATCTAAAAATTTATGAAAAACATTAATACACTTTCAGGTAAACATCAGGCTAGACAATTTTGCTTCACTAACTTTCTGATTATTTATGGTTTCTGTCTTAATCATTTTGCCCAAATTATCTATAAGAGCTACTGTACCTACTACTGAGAAATACATAATTTTTATACAGGGAACTAATGGGAAGACCAAAAGTAGTAATAAATTAATATGATCATCATTAAAACCCGTAATTCTTTTGTTGACCGTTTTATTAAGATCAACATTTTTTTTTTTACAAAGATAGAAATGAATTTAGGCATAGGTAAACTTTTGCTAAACAGAAATACTTATTTGTTGCCTAGAGAAAAATAACTTCTCAGGTATTTTTATTCCAGTTCTAGGTTATATTTGTCCTTTTTGTGCAACTGAATTCTAAAACTTCTATGGATGATCATTGCTGTTTACAATACCTTGTACAGCCTTAGATTTTAACATTCTTTTCTCATTGTTGCATCTTTTTACCACCTTTGTACTTAGTCAGAAATCCCTTCTAAAAACATCTCTCATTCTTCTTGACCAAATGCCCTCGCCTGTAACTCCACACTGTGCTGCTGGGCCTCTCTGAACAATGGCCCCTGTCCTGAGGGTCAGTTCTGAGCAGCGGGGAAGAGCTGCAAGAATAAACTTCCTGAGAAGAGCTGCAAGTGGAGCTGGCCTCCTAAGACAAAGGAGACTTGTGCAAGGACAGGGTTTCCAAACCAGCAGGGTTCCTATTTGATTGACCTGCCTAATGTCTCAATGATTAGCTCAGGTAATTAAGAACTCACCGTGTTACAATAAACTGTTTTTTCTCCGAGTTTGGAAAAAGTTTTGTAGCCACTTCCCCATTATCAGAATTGGTCTTTATATCAGACATTAAAATATTCTAATTATTATCCAGTCAGTACAGCCCAGAAATTAATGTTAATTTTAAGGTTTACTTTAAAAATTAATCATTTAACTAATGGACACAAGTAAAATTTTTTAAGCTCAGGTGCAGTGACATTTGCTAATTTTTTGGAGAAGTTTCTGGTTTTAGGTAATGGGAATAAAGAATAAAAAAATATTCAAGCGAGGAAAGGAAGGAGTAGAATCAAAATAAGGGGGGAGGTGCAATTGTATGGGGAATATAACCAAAATGAAAATGCATACATTGTGCAAAGATGAAAAAAGATGTAAGAATTATATAAAATAAAATATTTGAATTAAAAAAATATTCAAGATAAACTACTATAAAGTGACTTTACTGGAGGTTGAAGGTTATGCACATTGTTTTACGTGAAGGGGTGTTTTAGGTAAAAGGATTGAGCTATTTTTGAAGGGAGTATTTTGTCAAAAATTTCCTCAGTATAGTTATTTTGAAAAGATCCAGAATGCCTATTTCTTGTCTTTTTTCATTTTGTCTTGCAGCTATAACTAAATGTACTTACCTATGCAAAGGAATTTATTGAGGCATAGAAAAAGTAAATGAATAAAATATCAAATAAATGTCTTTTTCTCTTAAATATTATATTTTAAAATGATAATTCTGGATCTTGGCAGTCATCACAGGGTATTAAGAATTGTAATATATTCTCATAATGTAATTTCATTCAATATATGTTTAGTCATATTTGCTGTGTATATGATGAATGAGGTACTTCCTGGGCCTCAAAGAAAGATAATGAAATAAGCATTGGATGATTATTTACTAGGTACATATATTCCATAAGCAGAGCTATTTAATGTGGCCCCCATAATTCCCTTATGAAGTAGATAGTTTAAGTTCCTTGCCAAGTCCACTAATAAGTGAAGGAGATGGACTCCAAATCCATGTTTATCTTCATAGTCTCTTTTCACTATAATAGAGTGCTGTCCAAAAAATATGTGAGTCACATGTATAATTTCTAGTGGCTATATAAAGAAGAACAAATGGAAATCATATTAATAATACATTTTATTTAAACAAAAATATCAGAATATTATCATTTCAATTTGTAATCAATGTATAAATGATTAATGAGATATTTTTGCTCTGATTAAGTCTCTAAAATTCACGTATTTCTATATACATCAAAGTCATGAGAATAAAACGAATAATGGATGGGGCAGGAAACTCAAAGACACCCCCTACACACACACTGAATATTTGAGTTACAAAGGTAGCACAAAAATCAACACATAAAGAAGAATGTTTAGTAAAAGGATTAGGAGAACTGGTGTACCACGTGGAGAAAATTAAAACTGGAATCTGTTACACTATAAAAATTAAACTTAAGATGAATTATTAAAGACTTAGATATAAATGGTAAAAATAAAAAGTCAGTGAAAAATAAGGTAACAAAATAACCTTGGGACCTCAAAACCACAACCATGAGGTAAAAAAGTTAATGACATATTTGACCTATCGATGGGAAGGTTTTAGCTGATGATTAATAACAGGTGTCATAAAACAGTGTAAAGGGCATAGAATTTTAGGACAGTGGGAAAGGATGGTTGCTTTTAGAGAGATGGATTTGTTTAGGTTCAGAAGCTTAAATCCTCAGCTCAAGGTAAGGTATGAAAACTAGAAAAATGTTTATTTTTGCTAAAACAATCTTTTTTCTTACTAGATATAAGGCTGAAATAGCTGAAAATCGAGGTCATACTTAATTCTGCTGGTTTCCAAGTTTTATCAGGAGTTGCATTTACAGTCTCACCAGGCCTCGTATGCAAAAAGTTAAGTGAAAATATTAACAGGAGACAACAGAGGGATTAGCAATTTGCAGGATTAGCAATATTTATAAATTAGGCCTGGTTGTAGCTCAAATATGAGTACTGAAAGCCTGTGTCCTTGGAAACAAACCCCTTAATTCTAGGTAAACCAAAGCAGTCATCCTTTGCTCATCAAAACAGGAATACTTCCTGTCTAAAGAGGTTGTTGCTGCTTTGCTTTCAGATCCTATAATGACCTCACTCAGTTTATCTCCTGCTTCTCCGACACGATTTCTCTCTGCACACATATTAGAATCCAGCATGGAAAAAGGCTGTGCTGGCATGTACAGGCAAACCCAGAAGACGATTTCACCCCCAAAGAATTCTAGACTTTGCTCATTTACATTGGCAAAACCCTAGGAAAAATGTGTGGTGTTCTGTAAATACAGTGAGATAGGAAAAAGTAACACTGTGGATTAGGCCCAATTGATTGATAGGGGTGCACTTGGCACAGATTCTGGAGTCTGTGCTACCATGGGTAACTGAAAAGTCAGAAGCTAACTTGTTGGTTGACTGAGTTAGTCAGTTAGTTGACTGAGATGTAAAATTAGTAGTGGCTCACATTAAATAGAATTGAAAATGTAAGCTTTCTTGAAAGAATATAAGAAATTAAAAGATTTACAAAAATAGGAATGTTGGAGGGGATTTGTCACGGGCAGTGTACTGACCATCCCAATCCTAACAATCTCCCAAGAGAACCTATCAGTAACCTTCCTTTTACTGAGACCTTGAGAAATACATTCCCAAGGGTAACAGTAGCATTCAGGAAGAGCTTATTCATAACTCTTCAAAGCTGGAGAGGTCTGTCAGAGATGTTTGGTCAAGATATGCTTATTTCAGTGGAGACATCAAAATCTTGGGGATAGAAGTTTAATACAGCAGTTAAGTACTGGAGAAAACGTGGAAACAGTAGGAAGCAGGTGCAGTGTAATCAGAATAGTTTGGCTTACAGAAATCTTTGGTGGTGGCCAGTAAATCACAGGGTGAAATATCCTGAAGTGATGTTGAAAATATTAACAACTAGAATAGCACAGGTACTGATCAAGAAAGTGGATGCCTGTGTGAACAGCTGTTACAGCCCCACCAGTGCATGCCAGCTGGGTTCAGCACCAGAATATATGGGCAACCCACATAGGTCCTACTTCCTACTACTTATGTATGACAGCTGCAGAAAAGCCTGACATGGGCCACTCAGATAAAGCATCAAGACTCACCAGATATGAATGAGGATGCTAAGGGGTAATACCATAAATATTTCCAAAATCTGCTTGTGAGGCTCCACTGATTAGGATTAACAATATATTTCAGAAAGGCAACCACTATTTCTTTAGGGAATTATCGGGCAACAGTGCCAAATGAACACAAGTTTCTGAAGTATTAGAAACCATTGTGGTCTGTGGGACAATGTGTATGTTATAGGAATAAATACATCTATTTTCCCAATGAAGTGTTAAATTTGATATCTTCTTCATCTATGGTAATATCCCCATACTGATGCATAAAAAGAGTTGTTCTGGCAGGAATCAAATGATTTGCAGAGATAAGTCCTTCCATCAAAAACTTTAAAATAAGCAGGATTTGGTTCTTTTTTTCTCAATTTCAACATGAAATCTGGCATCTTCAGGAGATGGATGGTTGTTAAGAATGACAGCATATGCCATGAATTTAATCATGTGGTGATTCCAACTGAGCTGCTGTTAGTCAAGTTCTGTTTCATGGCGCTAATCAGTGGATGACTACTGATTTGGCAATGTTGGTTTGTTTTTCTTTATTCCAGTAGGTAGAGGGCACCTCAAACAGTCTGTGCAATCAATAAGCAACATCACAGATACTTCCTTCAGGTGCCATCAACTCCCTGACTCTGCCAAAATGTAACTCTTGATGCTAGTTCTGGGCCATCTCATTGTACATTGTACTCATCACACTGATTAACTCAATAATATGGTCAACGCATCTGGAGCACAACCGTCTTGAGGCTCCCTAGATATTTGCTAAAATACATCGCACTGGAGAGTGTTTTCAGACACATTTGTGGATCTCTGGTGTCTGGTGCATGTTGGGATGTCTTCTTCAGAGTGCAGAATTATGTGTTTTATTACACTTAAGGCCAGGGAGAACCCTCCGTGTTTGTTGGGCTTCTTTGAATTTTTGTGCCTGCTGCTTAAAGCCACTTACGGATTGATTCAAATTCTAGCTTTGGGCTTAGACAAAGGCCTGTTTCTGGGTCAGGCTGCAGAAGTTCTGCCATGGGTTCAGCGTTTTTAGGCAAATCAGGAGTCTGTATAAAAAAGGGATT